GACTACCTCTTGAAACGAGGATAAACTCAAGATAATTAACATTTCCTTCAACCGAGGACGTAACCCCTCTACAAACCACTCACAAGTATCCTTCTCCGTAGGAACTAGCTCGGCAGCAAAGCGGCTCAACTTATTGAATTCACACTCGTACTCATATACAGTGAGATTTCTTGCTTCAAATTCATGAACTCTTGCTTCATTTGACGAACAAATTGATCTCCGATGTACTTATGTTTAAATTCTTCTAAAAACAATGACCAAGTTACTTGGGCGTTAGACATCCTCAATGTAACATTGGTTCACCAGATCCTTGCTTTCCTCTCAACAAGGAAATTACTCCATCCAGCTTCTTAGCATCGAAACAATGAAGTCCCGTAAGCATGACCTTCACGTCATTAAGCCAAAGGTCCGCAGTAACAGGACCTTCATCGGCTTCCCCTCTAAACTCTGGAGCTCCTAATCCCTTCAACTCTTTCGTAACGTTCATTTTTGGAGTTGAAGTAACAGGAGGTTGGAAACGCGTCAATACCGCGTCTAACGTTCTAAAGAATACATCTTGATCATTTACAGGCATTCTAGAGGATGTATGTTCTTCACTTTGCCTGGCCAGGGCAGGTGAATTACTACTTTCAGCGGGTCTATCATCTCCCGCTTCATTCCTAGAACTACCTCGTCCGGACATCTATAAAAATACAACCATATAGTTCTATTAGCAAAACAATACTTACTATTCCATCAGATCAGAAGTTTCCCCTATTTTGTTGGTATATATACATTATCAGACACTCTAGACTCTGGTTTATGCCAAGAATCGACTAAGCCGTATCTCTGATACTATTAAATATAACAACACTAACTCATATTCGACCCAAATACAAGTCCGAGATGTCACATTGACTTTTCAAACTTTGATTCTTAAAGAAAAATCCCATGAATTTAAAACTTTCATTAAAACAAAATACTTTAATTTACATAAAAGAGACCACTTAATACAAAATTGATCAGAGTATTCGTAAGTAACCAATTATTACATATCAACACTTTATACACAAAAAAAATGCCTACTTTTTCAATTACTTCTGATCTGATTTCTTAGTAATGTTGTTGTCCGTGCCACTGCTATTCTGAATCTTCTTATTTCTTGGTACCTACGTGTAAATCACTTACACGCTAAGTCATAGACTTAGTGAGGCAATAAATGAATATGCAACAATATCTTCATGAATATGCATTCTTACTATTTCCTTCATGACATTTCAATATGCATGTATCTATTACACAATAACATATATAATAATATCATGCATGTATAAAACTTACCTTCTTGTACCACTTTCACTTTACTTTGTATTTCAATTGCCCATGTATATTATTGAGAATAGAGGTATGTGAGTGCATTGAGGTTGTGCACTAATGCTGTCACCACAGCTCGTATCAATTCCCTCATGGGGCACCGAACCTTAGTTCAGTATTCGTCCCGAAGGACTGTCATATATGTCCCGTAGGACCACTACATCCCGAAGGACTACGTCCCGAAAGACTATTATACCCTCGACTCTTGGCATGCCAATTACACCTATAGCTCTCATATCATATACTATGGGCATTATTCTTATATTTTATATGTTCAAGTACTCATGTCATTTCTCTTGTGATCATGTAGCTCATGTCATTTCTCTTGTGATCATGTAGCTCATGTCATGTTCTCATATCACATATCATATCACATAGGTATTTGAATCTATTTATATATATACATCATTTATCCAATCACATGAACATATATATATGCCTTATGCATGTATTACAATAATTATCATGTATGCATGTTCACAACTATTATACTATGAAAATCAATATAGAAATTAGACTTATCACAAGTCTTATTCCATTATACTATACATATAGTATGCACTCACCTTAGCTTTGATTTGATTCGATTATAATCCTTTTATCATTCCGGGAATAAGCTTACTTTTAGTATCTACATAATCACACATGGATCTATATCAGTATTATAGCTAATATACTCTAATGGTTCACTCTTTAGATTAAGATAAATGCCAATTTCCTCTTTTAATGAAGGTATGCATCGATGTACTACTTATGCATCGGTGCATAAATGCATTCGATGTTTTATTATTAATGGGATGCATAGATGCATGCCTTATGCATCGATGCACTAATTGCATTCGATGTTTTTATTTTAAAAGAGTGCATCGATGCACTACCTGTGCATCGATACACCTTCAAACACTTTCTGGGTTTTAACCTTGATGCATCGATGCACTATGAATATGCATCGATGCACTCTGCCCAAAATCCTCTTTTTGAACCCGAAAATTCATTCATTTTGGATTAAATCTTTCATGTTTAATCCTCTTTTTCATTCTTAACTATAGTAGACATCCTTAAACCAATTTATACTCATTTATTTCATCTTAAACCTCCAAATTCTATCTTTCATATGTAATTTAAGAATTACATCAATAATTCAACATGTTTGAATTCCACTTTTAACACTTCATATATCTTAACTAGATTGATGACAAGTCAAATTTAACTTTCAATTCTAGTTATGAACTTTATTCCAAGATTTCATTTAAGAACTTCAAATCTTAAATCTCTCCTAACTCCATCATCCTTTGATATTAAGATAATTTAAGCTTAGTTATCATCTAATAATCAAAACCCAATATTAAATTTAACAAAAAACTCAATAATCAGAAATCTTACCTTTTCTTTGGTTCACACGCACAAGGAAGAAAGAAGAAGAAGAGAACTCTGGAAGTCTTGGGTGTTTTCTCCCCTTCCACCAACGTGTATCCTTATATATACATACTTATCCATTCTTTAATTATTTTTCCTTGCAATTACTCTATTGTCCTTTCATTCCTTCTTCCTTTCAATTCCATCCTACACAATAATTTACATGTAAATCTTTATACTATTCATTCATTTTATTCTAACCACCAAATTCTGAGACTTTACAATTTAGTCACTAACCTGATATTGAGGATGTTACACGATGAATTCATAATGGCAATATCTCATTCTAAAAGCAGTCTTTGGAATGTTCTTCTCCTGAATCTTCAATTGGTGATAACCGGAACGTAGGTCAATCTTCGAGAATACTGAAGCTCCTTTTTACTGATCAAACAAATCGTCAATGCGCGGGAGGGGATATTTATTCTTGATGGTTACTTTATTAAGCTGCCGATAATCAATGCAGAGACACATTGTCTCATCATTCTTCTTAACAAATAACACCGGAGCTCCCCAAGGTGACACACTTGGTTGAATAAATCCTTTCTCTATTAACTCTTGTAACTGATTCTTTAACTCTTGCAGTTCTTTCGGAGCCATCCGGTAAGGTGACATTGCAATCGAAATTGTTCCTGGCATTACTTCGATTTAAAATTCTACCTCTCTATCTGGATGTAATCCTGACAACTTAGCCGAGAAAACATCAGGGATATCTCGAACTATTGGAATCTTATCTAACCCTTTATCCTTAGCTCTTGTATCTATCACATTTGCAAGAAAAGCTTGACATCCTTGTAGCAACAACTTCTTGGCAGACATCACTGATATTACATTTGCTAAAGGATTTAACCTTTCACTGATCACATTCACTTCTATTCCTTCTAGACTCTTCAAGGTTACCTTTTTCAATCTACAATCGACATTCCCATAATAATGAAACAACCCAGAATTACTTCAAACTCGTCAAATGATAGTTCCATCAGATTAGCAGGGAATTCAATTCCCTGAATCTTTATGGGACACCCCTTACAGACCTTGTTCACCTGAGCATTATGTCCTAAAGGATTAGTTACTATCACCTCATTACTCGTAGCTTCTAATGAAATCCTCAATTTCTTTACTAATTTACTTGTAATGTATGAATAATTAAAACCCAGATCAATCAGTACCAATACTAATTTATCATACAACTGAAAAGTACTGGGTATAATATCAGGATCATCACGCTCTTCACTTGTCCTTAAATTGTATACCCGTACGGTTGACCGAACTTCAAGTTGGACAGAGGATTCAGTTGGTTCCTTCCTCTGCCTCTTCCTTATCATCTCTGCGAGACAGAACCCACTCTCTCAGATGGTGTTGACTCACCAACCATTAACGGGCAATCCCGGATAAAATGTCTGGTATCTCTGCATTGAAAACAAGTCCCAAAAGCCATCCGACATGCCTTAAAATGGTTCTTTTTACAATGCTGACACTGTCTCGCTTGGCCCTGATTGGATCTCTCAGCACCAGATCCCACCGACTGTGTCTGTATATGTCTTGCATGACTTGCCCCTCTAGCAGAGGATGCAACTGATTCTGATCTAACTTGTGGTCGAAATCTTGAATCTCTTCCTCTTTTTGGTGGTGTTGAGTTGGAATGAGCACTCGTTCTCTTTGATGTCTGAACTCTTAAGTCCCCAAATCTCTCATTTTGAGCTCTTTCAAGAGCTTTTGCACGATTGATCACCTCTTGAACAAGGACAAGTTTAATACTATCAGCATTTCCTTAAGCCTAGAGCGTAAGCCCTCCACAAACCATTCACAAGCATCTTTTTCAGTAGGCACAAGCTCAGCTGCAAACTGACTCACCTTGTTAAACTAGCATTCATACTCATATACAGAGCGGTTCATCTGTTTCAAATTCATAAACTCCTGCTTCATTTGCCGAATAAACTGGTCTCCAATATACTTGTTTTTAAATTCTTCTAAAAACAAAGACCAAGTTAACTGGTCACTTGACATCCTCATGGTGACGTTCGTCCACCATATCCTTGCTTGACCCCTTAGTAAAGAGACATATCCATCTAACGTCTCCACTTCAGAGCAGTGGAGACTATCTAACATGATCTTCAAATCATTTAACCAAAGATCCTCCACAACCAGATCTTCCTCGGATTCTCCCTTAAACTCGGAAGCTCCCAAACTTTTCAACTCTTTTGCTATATTCATTCTTTGAGTTGGTGGGGCAGGAGGTTGAAGACGCGTCAAAATAGCGTCCAAAGTCCTGAAGAAAATGTCTTGGTAGGCACTCCTAGAGACGATTGTCCTTCACCTTGCCTGGCCAGGGTAGGTGAATTTCTGCTCTCAGTAGGCCTATCATCTCCCGCTTCACCTCGGGAGCTACTATGTTCGGACATCTAATAAGAATAAACACATTGTTCTACTAGCAAAACAACATACTCATACTATACCAGATCAGAAGTTCTCATTATATGTTGGCATGTATTCAATTTAAAGACTCTATAGACTCTGGTTTATGCCTAGAATTGGCTAAACCATAGCTCTGATACCATTAAATGTAACACTCTCAACCCGTACCCAACCCGGATACGAGTCCAAGATGTCACATTAACTTTTTAAAACAACATTCTTAACAAAATAATAAAAATATTTGGACTTATATAACTAAAATACGATAATAAACATTAGTTAATACAAATTTATCAAAATACTCAGAGCATACATAACTTGACCATTTGATTACATGCCAACATTCATTTATATAACAAAATGACCTACTGATTAAGTTGCTTCTGATATGATAGTTGCAGGAGTAATGTTGTCCAGTTGCTTAATCTGTCTCTTATACTTCTTGGATCCTACGTGTGAAACACTCACACGCTAAGTCGTCGACTTAGTGAGGCAATATAATAATAGCAAGTAAATGTAATGAAAACGCCATAATGAGATAAAGTGCAATGAGAATATGTATTTAATCAATGCAATATCCATAACCATGTATCTTACACATAAGCATATTAATTTAACATTCATGAATTCACAGTAATAAGTTTATTGGCCCATGATACCATACTGAGAACATAAGATATGTGAGTAATGTGAGGTTGTGCACTATGTTGTCACCACAGCTCGTATAAATGCACCGAAGTGCCACGTAGAATTACATCGAAATGTTGCGTAGAATTGCACCAAAGTGCCATATAAGATGTCCCAAAGGACCACGTAGAAAATTCCTTAAGAATCATATACATATGTTAAGGATCAAGTATGTGTCTCAAAAGACCTCACACATGTTCCAAAGAATACATATATGTCTCAAAGGACCGCGTAGACCCTCTACTCTTGGCATGCCAACTATACCTATAGTTTTTATTTACATAACATGGGCTTTTCTCAGTTCACATAGTATATCACATATACATATCATTTATATTTCCTTACCTTCATCACATAATCCAAATAACTTTGCATGCATATTCATTTAAAACATATTACACAATGCACATAGTATAAATTCCCATTATGTTTCATAATATAAGATGAATCATGCATCAATATATTAAATCTAGACTTATCACAAGTCTATAACTGGATACACTGCAATAATCATGTTATGCATATGCACTCACTTATATTTCTTTGTTTTTCCCTTGATTGATCTAAATCTGCATAAATATAATTTTGAAAATGATTATCAGATGCCTAGACCTTGCAATTAACTTGATAACTTCCTAAAAAGGCTACTTTTAAGGCCTTTTTCACTTAAGTTATTGTTTGTTTAAAAGCTCATTTTAGGCATTTTAGGATCATATAGTTGCATTTGTGGTGGTAGTGTTATTTTATTTCTTAATGGTGCTGCTTGAGGGAAAGGTGCAGTTTGTTTGTGGTGTGCAGGGAATAGCAAGAAAAAGGATTCTTTGGGAAGCAATGTCGCGGCATCACACGTTGCTAAAGCAGAATGAAATGCCTCGGCATTTCTGGCGCAGAAAAAGACAAAAAAGATATTTCTGCATAAGGACAGCTGTCTCTGTACGTGAAGGTCTGATGTAACCGCCTGCCAGAGCCGCCAGAGGACCACTGCCACTTGGAGGATAAGATTCACGTTCAACATGTGATTCTAGGGGTATGAGGGGTATTTTGCACCCAACAATGTCATCATTACCCCTAGATATTTTTTTATTATATATGACACCTCATGGGAGAGAGGAAGAGAGGATTCACACACACGCATACTGTAGCAAAAATCAGATTTTTATTTTCTTTTTCCTTTCTTCTTCCTTGGGATATTCCTTTATTTTTATTTTCTCAACTTCCCTTTTTACTGTTATTTTATATTTATTTGTAGGTTGTTGGAACAAATATTTTCATGACTTTGTGTTTGGATATTTTGAACCCCACCTTGAACTAACTTATTTGGTGGTGGTTGATTTAATGGTTGTTTGAACTTTATTTTTAATGGTGTATTTAAGTTTATTTTGGTTCTTTATTTGCTTTGCTTATGAATGTTTCACCATCTAGGCTTGTAAGAGGCATGGAAATGTCCATTTCTTAGATGAAGGTTAGGTATTCGGAAGAATCCTAAACTAAAAATACTTGTAAGCATTCGGAAGAAACGCAAGATAAGATCCTCATAAACAATGGGTTATAGTATTTTCAAGGGGCTTTGAACCGGCCTAGGAATATTATAACTTAATCCCTTAGATCTCGGAAGAGACTAGGATAGGATTTCAACTACTAAAAAATGTGTCTTTATCAATAGGGTAGGCTGGCCAACATCGTTGAGTGAGAGCAGTTGCCTTGGCATCCTATTTTGTTAGGTTCTTTTGAACACTTTAGGAAAGCTCTGTCGAGTAAGTAAAGACCAGGTAGCTTAAATATACTTGAGAAATAAGTTTAGCAACCTTAGATCAATCCCTACCATTCATTCTCTTGGAAGCTTGTCACGTGAGGATTATTTTCTTTACATTCTATTCTCTTTTTATTTATTGTTTTTACCATTTTTCATTGCCTTGACATTTCACCATACTCAACATTAAACATCCATCATTTCCATTGCATTTCCATTTGCTACACCATCAGACAATCACTCCATATCCACCAGCATACACATTTACATTGTTGTGACATTGTATATATCAAGACTAACTATACTTAGATAGAATAGTGCATTGCTTTGGTTAGACTTTTGTAATTTCACCCAATCCCTGTGGAGACGATACTCACTCATCATTATATTACTTGAGCGATTGTGTATATTTGCACATTATTTGCGTATAATTTATAGTACTCACAACACGCGAACAAGTTTTTGGCGCCGTTGCCGGGGATTGGCAGCCTGAAGTTATTTAGTTTTGCCAGAGCATATTATTTTGTTTTGAATTTTTATTTGTGTATAGTTTACTTGATATTTTTGTTTTATTTTCAGGTTTATCTAGTGTATGCCTAGAAGAAATTCTGAAGAGCCTTTGGAACCAATAGAACATGAGATTGAAAGACTCTTTAGAAGAAGAAGACGTACTCAAAGAAATATGTATCAAATTGGAAACCAAGGCATTGGTCAGGATGACGAAAATCATAATGCCGCGGCATTAGACAATGTTGCTCATGTTGTTAGGCCGCACGTTATTCGCGATCACTTAAATCTGATGCTGGATGATTTGAATCCTGGGATTGTGGCACCTGAAATTCAAGCTGCACATTTCGAGCTGAAACCAGTCATGTTCAACATGTTGAATTATATTGGGCAGTTTGGGGGTATGCCAACTGAAGATACCAGCCAGCACATCGTAATTTTCTGGAAGTTTGTGATTCTTTTCGCCAAGAAGGAGTGCATGAGGATTTTCTGAAATTAAAGCTTTTTCCGTATTCATTGCGTGACCGAGCAAGGGCTTGGTTGAGTGGTGTACCAGCCGGTTCTATGGAATCATGGGCCAATCTTTGCAAGAGTTTCTTATTGAGGTACAACCCACCAAACATGAATACGAAGCTAAGGAATGAAATATCATCTTTTTGCCAGGGCGACGACGAATCCATGTGTGAGTGTTGGGATCGTTACAAGAGTTTGCTTCGAAAGTGTTCAAATCATGGTTTTCATGATTGGACTCAAGTAGTCATGTTCTATAATGGAGTCAATGCACCCACGAGGATGTTACTAGATGCCTCGACAAATGGGACATTACTGGATAAATCACTTACTGAGGCGTTTGCTATCTTGGACAGAATTGCTAATAATGATTATCAATTTCCTTTCTCAAGGCTTAGGAGTGGAAGGAGAACACCTGAAGCATTTGAGTTAGATACCAAGGATTCGGTGTCCGCTCAACTCTCAGCCATCACTAATATGTTGAAGAACTTATAACGTTCCACTGATGTGAAGGAAGTGAAAGCAACTAGCGAATGTCCAACCAACCACGAGTCCATCAACTTTGTAGGTAATTACAATCGAGGCAACAACAATCCTTATTCTAACACTTATAATGTTGGATGGCGTTAGCATCCCAATTTTTCATGGGGAAATCAAGGAGCCCACAATGTTAATCAACATACTCGGCAACAGAATCACAATGAGCCTCAAGGTTACCAAAATGCTATGCCATGGCATAATGCCAACAAAGGAGCTTCATCTTCAGCAAGCACATTGGAAGCTACAATTTAAGAGTTCATATCCACTACGAAGACAATACTGCAAGACCATTCTACTTCAATTAAGAATCAAGGAGCTTTACTTCATAGTCAAGGCGCCTTACTTCAAAGCCATAGATCGTCTCTGAGAGCTTTGGAAGGTCAAGTTGGTCAGATTGCTACGGCATTGCAAGAGCGTCAGCAAGGACGTTTTCCAAGTGATACTGAAGTCATTAGAGCACCTAGAAAAGAGCACTGCAATGTGTTAACTCTTAGGAGTGGAACACAAATCAATCGACAAGTCAAGGATAGTGGGCCACAACATGATGATTCTAATCCCACTACTGAAGTTGAAATACATGATGATAGAGTTACTGAGAAGGACAAGGAGGAGAATTCTGCTAAGATACCAGATTCTGATGCCAAGGCAAAAGCAAATTCTATTCCTGCAGCTAAGGAAGCTAGTCCTCCCCCACCCTTCCCACAAAGATTGAAGAAGCATAATGATGAAGTTCAGTTCAAGAAGTTCGTGGACATTCTTGATCAGCTCCATATCAATATACCTCTCTTGGAAGCTGTTGAACAGATGCCGATGTATGCTAAATTTCTGAAGGAAATCTGTACCAAGAAGAGGAAAGTAGAGACTGTTGCCACGGCAACAAAATTTTGTTCTTCATTGAGTAAGTTGCCACCAAAGAGAAATGATCCGGGCATCTTCATTATTCCTTGTTCAATTGGAGCTAATTTCATTGGAAAGGCACTGTGTGATCTTGGTTCAA